AAATTTTGAGATAAACCTGATACAGCACAGTTCAGCACACTTCAGATTGGATAAGAATTCAATTTTGTTTAATCTGATTTCCAAAATTTTGGGGGGGCTGAGCGTCAAGTTAGCCCCCCAGTAGGATTTTTGTCGGAAAATGACCGAATATGGAAATTTTGAGAAAAACCTGATACAGCACAGTTCAGCACACTTCAGATTGGATAAGAATTCAATTTTGTTTAATCTGATTTCCAAAATTTTGGGGGGGCTGAGCGTCAAGTTAGCCCCCCCAGTAGGATTTTGTCGGAAAATGACTGAATATGGAAATTTTGAGAAAAACCTGATACAGCACAGTTCAGCATACTTCAGACTGGATAAGAATTCAATTTTGTTTAATCTGATTTCCAAAATTTTGGGGGGGCTGAGCGTCAAGTTAGCCCCCCAGTAGGATTTTTGTCGGAAAATGACCGAATATGGAAATTTTGAGAAAAACCTGATACAGCACAGTTTAGCACACTTCAGAATGGATAAGAATTCAATTTTGTTTAATCTGATTTCCAAAATTTTGGGGGGGCTGAGCGTCAAGTTAGCCCCCCAGTAGGATTTTTGTCGGAAAATGACCGAATATGGAAATTTTGAGAAAAACCTGATACAGCACAGTTCAGCACACTTCAGATTGGATAAGAATTCAATTTTGTTTAATCTGATTTCCAAAATTTTGGGGAGGCTGAGCGTCAAGTTAGCCCCCCAGTAGGATTTTTGTCGGAAAATGACCGAATATGGAAATTTTGAGAAAAACCTGATACAGCACAGTTCAGCACACTTCAGAATGGATAAGAATTCAATTTTGTTTAATCTGATTTCCAAAATTTTGGGGGGGCTGAGCGTCAAGTTAGCCCCCCAGTAGGATTTTTGTCGGAAAATGACCGAATATGGAAATTTTGAGAAAAACCTGATACAGCACAGTTCAGCACACTTCAGATTGGATAAGAATTCAATTTTGTTTAATCTAATTTCCAAAATTTTGGGGGGGCTGAGCGTCAAGTTAGCCCCCCAGTAGGATTTTGTCGGAAAATGACTGAATATGGAAATTTTGAGATAAACCTGATACAGCACAGTTCAGCACACTTCAGATTGGATAAGAATTCAATTTTGTTTAATCTGATTTCCAAAATTTTGGGGGGGCTGAGCGTCAAGTTAGCCCCCCAGTAGGATTTTTGTCGGAAAATGACCGAATATGGAAATTTTGAGAAAAACCTGATACAGCACAGTTCAGCACACTTCAGATTGGATAAGAATTCAATTTTGTTTAATCTGATTTCCAAAATTTTGGGGGGGGGGCTGAGCGTCAAGTTAGCCCCCCAGTAGGATTTTGTCGGAAAATGACTGAATATGGAAATTTTGAGAAAAACCTGATACAGCACAGTTCAGCACACTTCAGACTGGATAAGAATTCAATTTTGTTTAATCTGATTTCCAAAATTTTGGGGGGGCTGAGCGTCAAGTTAGCCCCCCAGTAGGATTTTTGTCGGAAAATGACCGAATATGGAAATTTTGAGAAAAACCTGATACAGCACAGTTTAGCACACTTCAGAATGGATAAGAATTCAATTTTGTTTAATCTGATTTCCAAAATTTTGGGGGGGCTGAGCGTCAAGTTAGCCCCCCAGTAGGATTTTTGTCGGAAAATGACCGAATATGGAAATTTTGAGAAAAACCTGATACAGCACAGTTCAGCACACTTCAGATTGGATAAGAATTCAATTTTGTTTAATCTGATTTCCAAAATTTTGGGGGGGCTGAGCGTCAAGTTAGCCCCCCAGTAGGATTTTTGTCGGAAAATGACCGAATATGGAAATTTTGAGAAAAACCTGATACAGCACAGTTCAGCACACTTCAGAATGGATAAGAATTCAATTTTGTTTAATCTGATTTCCAAAATTTTGGGGGGGCTGAGCGTCAAGTTAGCCCCCCAGTAGGATTTTTGTCGGAAAATGACCGAATATGGAAATTTTGAGAAAAACCTGATACAGCACAGTTCAGCACACTTCAGATTGGATAAGAATTCAATTTTGTTTAATCTGATTTCCAAAATTTTGGGGGGGCTGAGCGTCAAGTTAGCCCCCCAGTAGGATTTTTGTCGGAAAATGACCGAATATGGAAATTTTGAGAAAAACCTGATACAGCACAGTTCAGCACACTTCAGACTGGATAAGAATTCAATTTTGTTTAATCTGATTTCCAAAATTTTGGGGGGGCTGAGCGTCAAGTTAGCCCCCCATCTATTTTTTCCTATAACTTTGTTATCGAAACGGCACAGTTCAAAATATCACCGGCACAGTAGAGCACACTTCGAGCACAGTCAGTGGTTGCAATTTTTTTAGAAAATTCGAATGTGGGGGGGCTAACTTGACGCAGCTAAAACATGCAAGAGTTTTCGCAAGGCTGATATTTTCAAAATAGGTCGTACTTTAGTGCTAGAATGCTAGTGTACAGTCAGCACTCACAGTTCCGGGACAGCTGGCTCTGGGACGCGGGCAAAGTTGTAATTTTAAGAAGCATCTAAACTGTTTTCTCAAACCTCAAAATTTATGGAAATTTTGCACATTATCTGTTTGAAGGTCACAGATAACGTATGTAAATCGTCAGACGTCTAGTTCGTTGCAAAAAGGGGGTCAGACGTCCTCAAAGTTTTTATTTTATGGCATTTTCTTCGGTGTCCTGTCAAAATATATTTTTGCAGGTATTTGACAAATATATTTGAAGAAAATGCCATAAAATAAAAACTTTGAGGACGTCTGACCCCCTTTTTGCAACGAACTAGACGCCTGACGATTTACATACGTTATCTGTGACCTTCAAACAGATAATGTGCAAAATTTCTATAAATTTTGAGCTTTGAGAAAACAGTTTAGATGCTTCTTAAAATTACAACTTTGCCCGCGTCCCAGAGCCAGCTGTCCCGGAACTGTGAGTGCTGACTGTACACTAGCATTCTAGCACTAAAGTACGACCTATTTTGAAAATATCCGCCTTGCGAAAACTCTTGCATGTTTTTGGCGCCACCTCCTGGACTAGTATTCCAATTGATGAAACCTGTGAAGGTAAATATGACAAAACTTTCCAAAACGTCATATGTCAGCGAGCAACAGAAAAAAACAACATTCCCCTTTGTGGCATCTGTCTTTCATGGCTACATTTGTTTGGCAGATAGGGTAATGTATGCGCATTCCAGTTTTTGACTATAGTTCATTGGTTGCGACAGATGAAGAATTGCTTTAAGTGGAAAATGGAGCAATAGAGTTCGAGCTACAATTTTTGACTCTTTCTGCTACAGTGGTTCGGGTTATGTTAGGGCTTAAGCGTACTCATAGCTGCGAAATTCGCACTTTTTTGACATTACTTCGACAATTTGACGTTTGATTCACGCATAAAACGTCAATTTGTCGAAGCAATGTCAAAAAAGAGCGAATTTCGCAGTTATGAGTACTAGGCTTTAGTTCGAGATACGAATTCTCAATTTTTCAACTCCAGTGGTTCGGGAATTGCGTTCGGAGTGGGATTATTTGAGCTTGCGAGTATACAGAAAAAGAGTATTGTCTGGGAGTTTCACGTTACCGGGCAAAGCTTTCGTGCACCAAGGCAAGACACTTTACATATTTCAAAATAGACAAATAAAGCAATGTTGCGACAGATGAAGAATTGCTAAAGTGAAAAGTGGAGCAATGGAGTTCGAGTTACAATGCTCCGAGAGCGATCACAATCCAAACAGATTCCGTTTCGAAAGCGCTAAAGCGCTATAAGATTTGATATGAATACAATAGGTCTGTTTCTGCAGAAATCACAAACCAGTCAGAGCGAATTTCATTGGTTGAAAACAGTCAGAAATCTAGTTTCAACCAATGAAATGCCCTCTGATTGGTTTGTGATTTCTGTAGAAACAGACCTAATTACATTTTTAAGCTGGGTTCTGGGTTCGATTATTCGACACGGAATATGGAATTGGAATAGAGTCAGAGCAGTTTTTTGTCACGTGTTCTTAAAAATAATTGGAGCAGAGAAATGTCAAACCGCTCGTATCTGACAGCTTCGAGAGTTACTCTACTTACTCTACTCTAAAAATGTCCTTTCCAGAGATGAACATTTTGTGGGCTGAGTTTGACTCAAGGCGGGCACAGGCTTGCGGTGTTCGGCGAGTCTTGAATCACAAATATTTGCTATTCGGCAAGTACCTATTAGTGTGTATGGGTTGCTCGGGCAATTATTCGCTATAATTGCCCGAGCAACCCTCACACACTTTATTTGCTATTCCAAACAACACGGAACGATGCTCACAACTGTCAAAAATCGGTGCTAGAGGCAAGCACCCGTCTATGAATACCGGGCTAATCGCTACTTGCCCAATAGCAAATATTTGTGATTCGAGACTCGCCGAATACCGCATATCTGTGCCCGCCTTTACACTGGGTAAACTCCGAGCGCGCTCGAAACGATTAGATCCTGATCGTTTTAGCTCTCATAGTGTTGTCTTTTGCGTCCGGATTATGACCGCGTCTGACGTCACAATATTCATGCTCATACCGTTCCGCTCCGTGGACTGCAAAACCGAAATCAGCCTTGGAGTGAGCTCCATACCTGGAGCAATCTGAGTGCCTAGGGAATACTATAAAAAGGCACAGTTCTAAAGGTGGGTTCGGGATGACTGTTCTATAAATTCCAAAGATTTGTTTGTTGGTGTCGCACTAAGTTGAATTGAGCTGTAATATTTCAGATTAGGGCAGATAAACCATATAAAAAGCTCACAAACGAACGATCCAAACCAGGAAGGGCTGCCCCGAACAACACAAAAAACAAACCTCAAGTGCAATATCACTCCCAATGCGTTCGGGTATTGTCATTTTGTGCTAAAAAGAGTAACTCCACATGCGTTCGGAAAGGACGTGCAGGAGTCAAAAGAGGAGCTAAGAAACTCCAAATGCACCCCGGCCGTTCGGTTTCACTAATCCACTCCAAAAGCTTTTTGATCATGTGATAAGACCGCCACTCCAACTCTACTCCAGCTCCGCTGGGTCATCTTGAACCCAGCTTAAGAGTATGCGATAGCTTCCGTCATTTAAATTTGAAGTGTGTTTGAAGTTTTCCAAAAAAAAAAAAAAACATTTTTTCCAAAAACGAGTATGTGGAACTCTACTAATCCGAATCAGTTGAAAGGCGAAAAAGAAAAAGGCAGCAAAGAGTAAGACAACCTAAATGAACTGTGCCTAAATAGACACTATAAGTTCCTGGAATTTTTCTTATCCTAGAAAAGTATCAAAAGTCCGCGGCGGCCTGGCGGTGAAACACCTCAAAATTTCCGAAGCGCAAAAAGTGTACGAACTGTACGATTTCAAAGAGGAAATCGGGCACGGATCGTTCGGCGTCGTCGTTCTGGCTACTGAAAAGGCTTCGAACAAATCGTGGGCCGTCAAAATCGTACACAAAAATATCGTAAGTAGAACTTTATGCACTTATAGCTCATTTCTAGTTAACATCGATAGTCGTGTGACGTCACCGTAGATGCTTGGTTTTGCTCACTTGGAAAGTTGAAAATCGATTTTGTACGATAGTAAAACTTGACAAACCTCATAAATAGTTACTGTCATTTGTTGAATAATCAAATCTAGGCCTACTAACAGGGATGTTCCGAGAGAATTTGTAAATTTGAAAAGTGGGCATATCTGACACAAAATGTGCATCTCCGTTTTTATACTTTTCAATGTTGCCAGTTGCCAATATGTATGTTTATTCTTCTGTGCCCCTGCACGGGGCGGCAAAATCGAAGGGCGGCAAAAATCTCGGGGAGAATTGTTGTGTAAAAAAAACGACACTACAAAGTACAAAAGCTTCAAGATTTATTTCAACAATTATCGCGTTCGCATGCTCTGATCAATTCCAAACGATCTGAGTACAGTTCTTGGAACTTAATAAGTACGCAACTAGTTCTGCGCAGTTCCAGGATGGTTCGCGAACAGTTCGAAAAACGAGAACCCAAAGCGCTCTGGAGCACCACGGAAGTGCCCCGCACTAGATTTGTACCGTTCCAGTATCATGGCGTGAGACGCATGTCCCTCCTGCCCCTTGAAGCTACATCCGATTTCCCGGAGCTTCAAGCACCGGTGACTAAATATTTTCTTAAGAAATGCACTGCCCCTAGCCAGTCACTAGTTGCAATTTATTATTACCTTGTTTCAATTGACTTTGTAAATACTGGCCGTATTCGTTTTTGTCATCTTTTTCGTCGATTTGCACCGAAATTTTGACAGGCACGTGACTGGATCAGACAGTTTCAATTTACAAATCACGTGCCTGTCAAAATTTCGGAGCAAATTGTCGAAAAAGATGGCATGCATAAGCGAACATGTACTATACGATGGTACACGTATTGTCCGTCGTTTTTAATCTGACAGTTTCCGTATGAGGAGCGAGGAGGTGAAGCTTATGGCAAAAACAGGTGTGACGTCAGGTGACCATTGGCGTTCTAATGTAGGGAGCCACCAGCTCACATTCCTTTGGAGTATCAGATTAAAATCGACGGACTTCACAGTTTGGGAGCTCAACGCTCCCAGTAGCTCCGAGCGTCATACTCACATACTAGAAAGCAGCTCTAGTTCCATGCGTCCGCAAGCGATTTGCAGCTTATGTTTTGGTGTTATTTGAGAGTTGTATGTGGCATTACTATAAGTTTAGCAAATAGGTAGTACCGAGGGTAGCACTGGAACTACAAAGTAGGAAAGTAATCGGTAAGAGGGGCGGCAAAAATACCTTTTGCACAGGGCGCCGAAATGTCTGGAGCCGGCCCTGATTCTTACAACGCTGCCAGTTCCGATTGCCACAATTTTGTATTTTCATTGTCGATTGTCGAGCAGGCTGGATTGGGCTGGGGCTGGCTGGACAGTGGCGTACCAAGGATGATACACACCTACAGGATTGCTTAGTGGCCTCGTTTTTGGTGGTGATTGCCACCATATTAGTGTGTCACTATTTCCGACGTCATAACTTACTCGAGGCAAGAAATAATATGCTGCCTACGTCACAACTGATGATTTGGCCTGGGGGGAGGGGAGTTTTGTTCCATACAGGCCTTATGAGGTCATAAGTCATGAGGATAGGCCATACTGTAGTAGTAGTGTGTATCATCATTGGTGGCGAACAGTATGTATAGAGTACAGTTTAATTACACTCAGTACAAATTTACTGAGATGAAACCCCAAATCTAGAATATTTTGTGTTTTATTCATTGACTAAAAAATTGTGGCAGATTTATTCTAGAAATCAAAATGTGCATATCTAGAGACTGGGGTGCATACTGTGCATATAAATTGAAAGTGTGCATCAATATGCACAATTGTGCAGTTTGGAACATCCCTATGCCTACTAAGCTTTTTCCATAAAATTTCAGTAGTTCTATTTTACACCAGTTTCTGCACTCAGTTCACTAAAATAGTGTAAATTTTCCAGGCGGGAGCGAGCAAACTGACCGAAGTAGACCGCGAAATTAAAATCTTGAAAACGGTAAATCATCCGAACATCATCTATCTGGATCGGGTGTACGAATCGCCGAAGAAAATCTACATGATTTTGGAATTGTGTCCGAGAGAACTGTACGCAGTCTGGATGGACAGGAAACCGTTTTCGGAGAAGATGAGCAAAAAGGTGATTTTACAGTTGGCCGATGCCGTCTCTTATTTGCACAAAACTGGTAAGCGGTTTCACGTTTCAAAATTGTATATGTATATGTCACAAATGTAACCGACTTGAACTCAAACATTTATGTCACCTGTATGTATTCCCTGGTTTCTGGATTTGAAATTACCCCCAATGTACTATGTCGCAAATGTAACCAATATGATGCTAATGTAATTGGCCAAAAAATCGACAAATGTTACAATATAAGCTGCCGACTTGAGGCGATTAACCGGTCGGTCATAGTTGACAGATAATCAATGGAGCAAACGTCATTTGTCAACCAATTGGTATTAAATGACGTTAAATGCATTGTTTATCTGTCAATATAACCGACTGGTTAATCGCCTTTAATCGACTTTGATATGACGCAAATGTAACCAATATGACGGGAATATGTAGCCGCTAGTTTTGTGTTGTTTTATACATTTTATTGATCCATAACAAAAAAATTACTATTGTGACGCAGATGTAACCAACCAAAAGATCGACAAATGTAACAATGTAAGTTGGATAAATCGAGGGATAAAAACTACGAGTAATAAATTACACAAATGAAACCATTATGACCAGGGCCGCCGCTACAATGTGTGCGGTGTGTTCAAAAGACACAGGCGGCCGATTGAAAAAGGTTGCCGCCACCAATCTTGATGCAAAAAAAATCATGTGCAGCGCCCTACAAACTATCCCCCCTCATACAACTTTTAGCCAGCGTCTGAGTCGGGGTAAAGACGGAAAAAACTCAAAAGAAAGTTACGCATCTGTAGTGATGTCAGAAGGGTATCAGCGCTTGACAATAATAGGCAATCCTCCTTGGTTTGTGTCAATCGTTCGTCCGCTGTCAGCTGTCATTATCATTAGCTGTTTTTATCCGTCTCTCTACGTTATATCTTCCTTCATAGATGAAGAATAGATCATCGATTTCACTGAAATTATACCTTGTCCACTACCCTATTCTAAATAATTTCACAAGAATTTTTTAAAGTTGCATGAAAATTCAATGTAATTTTTACGGAAATTTTTTGGAATGTTATGAGAATAACTTGGAATTCCGAGAGAATTACGTGAAATTTCCGGAAAATAGATGGAATTTGATTGGAATTTTTTCGAAATTTCACATAATTTTATCGGAATTTCACTGAACTTCCAAATAATTTCACAAGAATTATTTAAAATTTCACGAGAACTTCATGTAATTTTTACAGGAATTTTCTGGAATTCCAGGAAAATTGATGGATTTCATCGGAATTCCACTGAAATACCAAATAATTTTACAAGATTTTTGATATTTGAGTAAGTTGTTAGTAGCTAATTACTTATTAGTCATTTCAAATTTCAATAATTATTATTAATTGATTAATAAAAATTTGCCTGAATTTTGAAGTATAAGGTAAAAATCAGCGCAATCATAACGACGGTGTCAAGGTCTCTGAAATGTACTGGAGAAATTCTTTTTTTTAATAAATTTCAAAAAATAAAATGTACACCAGAATTCCATATAATTTCTCTGGAATTCTGCAAACAATCCATGTAATTTCAAGGAAATTTTCTGTAATTGCAAGAAATTTCACAGGAATTCCTCGGAAATTCACAGGAATTTTAAATACGTAATATCATATATTTTTTTTTTTTTTTGGAATTTCAGGAGAATAATTTAAAATTTCGGAGAAATTACTTGGAACTCCAAGAAAATTATTGGCATTTCATCGGAATTTCATAATTTTATTGAAATTCCACAGAAATTCCACATATTTTTGTTTGGAGTTCTACGACGTCGTATCCCTGGAATTTTAATAAATTTTACTAGAATTTTATTCAATTGCACACAATTTTTATGAAATTCCGCATAATTTCCACGTAATTCCGCATAATTTCAGTAAAAGTTTGCATGGTTTTTATAGAATATTGCATATTTTCTATAAAATTCCGCAGAAATTCTTTGGATTTTTTCATAGTCTCTATGCAATTTCGCATAATTTCTATGGAATTCTATACGACCAGAGACCAGAGATAAATACTATATAAACTGTCGAGAATGGAATCTCAGTGTAAATTTTGTTGTCAACAAAATTGAGCCAAGCCAGCGCCATCTACCATATTGGAAACTCACGATTTACTGGTTTTTCATCGATGCTACAGACACCTACTTTACATAGGGCTTCAAGGCATTTTTATGATAGATGGCGCCTTGTTCGCATTCGTCTGTTCAAATTTGTTTATTCTAGACTTTGGGACATTAATGTTTGCTTAAATTAATTGATGTTTTGTTAATTAGATCAAAAGACAGTTCCTTTATCGATGGTTAAGGATATCCTTAACATATTTGTTCAAAATTCTGATTGATGTTTAATTGAACCTGTCATTAATCTAATCAACAAAGATAAAAATAGATCTTCCGATCTACAAAGTTTGAGGGTCTTCGTGAAACACACAAAACCACTTTGAAATCACTTAGAAACACTTGACAACACATTAACACAAAGAAAGACGAAATGCAAGACCGGCGAACGAAAAACATTATGAATTATTAGTTATGATAGTTATGATCAAATGAATATTTTGGCATATTGTCATATGTTGACATGTTAATCTCATGTCAATGTTATCGACATCGGACGTGTTCTTGATGTGCAGGCGTTACCCGCTTATTCCTTTGGAAAAGTGTTTGTTGCACCTGAGTACTCAAGCCCGAAGTAAACCATTTAAATGCACGAAAGCCAGCGCATCTGTTCCTTTCAAATTGGGGCGACTAACACCGGAGCAAGTAGCTCTAGTGTTTCAAACTCTTGAAAGGAATACAGCTATAAGAGATCGCAAGGCCTGATGCGTGACAACTTATGTCATGCGCAGTACATTACTCGTACGTTCGGTATTTGGATCTGAGTTCTCGGAGCATGAATTTACCCTTCGTTTATTTAAAAAGTGTACTCGGTGCAGGCTCATTCACGTTCGTTTATTGAAATTTCGAGCCTTCTGAGCTGCTTTGTGCGCTCGCTGGTCACGTGATTATGGCTCCGTTCTGCACGCTCTGCTCTTTGAACAAAATACCGAACGCAAGGTAAATTAGTAAAATTACCTACCATTACATGAATTGACAGCATTGAGGATGGGTATCAATGAGGAATTTGCACATTTTTTTTTTATTTTCTTATTAAATTTCTCACATTGTAAAAAGTCACTTGCCACATAAATTTTAAATTTTCAACTCATAGTTTTTCTGTAAAAAAATATAGAAAATCAAAATAACTCTCTTCGCGCCAAAACGCACTCATAAATGAATGACGTCACAAGACGGTATCCGTCAAAATGAGTCTCTGTACTCCCTCTCTCTCTTACCCATTGTGTTTTGTCATTGGTTTATGCGACTATGTCGATCATTGTCATTTTCCATTCACTAAACAAAGATAGTGTTACATTGATTTTGGAAATCAATTCTCTTCCAGTGAACTCACACCCTATATACATTAAGAGAGAGAAAGATATACTGTAGTAATGATAGTAACAAATATATATGGCTATCTTTGTTTAGGTAATGGAAAATGACAATGACATAGAATGGTTAATCCATCGGTATTATTCGATGTAAACACAAGCGTCTGACGGCTCACGTATCACGTAAACATAACCACACTTTTGTTTGTTTACCGTTCCATGACGTCATAACCAATTTGAGAGCGTTTTCGCTCCCTTTGTTATATTCAATATTTGAATAATTAATTATTTATTAGTGGTTCAGTATAAAGAGGATTTGAATATGGAAATATACTTCCAGAGTATTTTGCTTCATTTTAAATATATTTTGCATCAAAATAAAATTTTATGCAACTTCCTCATTTTCCAGTACGCGTGCCGAAGTGCCACTTCGCTACCAAATTGATTGAGGATGTAGCTTTAAAGTCTGTTTTTTTTTTTTTAAAGATAAAAGTCAAAATGACATTATGTTGGCAATACAACGTAAAATTGTCAATGCTTTCAAATTTTTTATGTAGAAAAGGCTTGTGTTGCCAACTGTGCAACATAGTTACTAAATTTTTGACTTGGGGAATGACACTTCGGCACGCGTGCTGGGAAATTGATACCCATCCTCAATGCTGTCAGTTTTCAGTCTACTGTGCGTGTAGTACGGTCACGAACCGTGCGTTCGGTATTTTGATCTGAGTTCTCTGAGCATAAATTTATCGAGTCGGCGTGCATGCTAGCACGGAATTGAATTGAGGATGCCAACGTTAAACAACATTATCCTAGCATGCGTGCCGAAGTGCCACTTTGCCACCAGATTGATTGAGGATGGGTCTTATATCGTTTTCCATTTAATTTCACTTAAATTTCGCATAATTTTAATGGGATTTGTTATATTTTCAATGAAATTCTGCAAACTTTGTATAAAATTAGGCATCATTTCCATGGTTTTCAGCATAATTTCAATGGAATTCCTCCTAGTTTTTACTAGTCCGTCGGATAGCTTCTTCTATGATGCATAAAAAAAAATCGACTTCCAACCAAATGGGACCTTCCCCATTTGAAAAAGCATGTTTTTTTACATAGGAAATGGAAATTGACGACACTCTCCATTGGTCCAGATAAAAGATATAAGCAAAAAACTGGATAAATATTGAATATAGTTTTTTTTTACTTTGAACCGGCATAACTTTTGTTCAAAGCAAGATAGAAACAAGTTTTTTTTTTAGTTCGATTCCTCATTCAATTTTCTTTCGTTTGGTACATAATCAATTTGAAAAATTTGGTCAACAAGTTGAGAAAAACAGCAATATTTAAAAAAAGGCAACAAATCGCAAATATTTTTTCAAACTTACCTTGCCGTAACTTCCTTATGCATAGTATTATTCCACTTTTTCTTTAACCAAAAACTGCGCAATTTAATAAGCTTCATTTAGTCTCGATTAACATTGGGTCTAGTTTTTGAAATAAAAGCAGTAGATTTATTTGAACGTAAAGGCGCGCGTTACGAAAACCGGCTCAGCGGCCGTTCCTAGTCTTCCCCTCGTGCCCTCGCGT